CCTACTAACAAGAAGCAGTGTGACGTGACAAAACACTGAACTGTAGCTTTTTGGCATACGCAGCTCATAGAGTCAAATATCAACATGCTAACTGACCTGATTCAATTACAGTATACTGTTCAAAATTTTTTAGGATTTTACTTAATGTTTTTAAAGAGGGCTTATTTATTTTTTATTTTATTTTTTTATTTATTTATTTATTAAGGCTGCATTTATTTGGTCAAAAAGTAGACTGTGAAATGCAATTTAAAATAACTGTTTTCTATTTGAATATATTTTAAAAAATGTATATATATATATATATATATAATATATTTTATGATGACAAAGCTACATTTTCAGATGCCATTACTCCAGTCTTCAGTGTCACATGATCCTTGAGAGATCTAATATTTTCTATTAGATTATTTAATAAAAAATAGTAATTCTAATATGCTGATTTGGTGCTCAAGAAACACTATTATCAATTTTGAAATCAATTGTGCTGCTTAATATTTTTGTGAAAATCCGTGATGATGCATTATTTTTCTTTTGAATGGTAGTGTCTAAATTAGGTTCTAGTTTTATTAGAAATTTGGGGTAAAAATGTCTGTTCAATACATTGCCACTCTTGCATGTTTTTGCTATCCAAACTCTGTAAGACATTGGGGCATACAGTGTTTTCTAACTCAAGTCACTTGTGCATGCATAATTATGGTGTGCTGTCTCCCTCTGGTGGTCCTTGAGTGTAACAATACAGTCGTCTCCTGCAGGGTTCCTGGTGACATTGATGAAGTCAATGCACTGAAGCTTCAGGTGGACCAATGGAGGATTCCTGAAAATCTGTCTGAACCCAATGTTCCTGGTGAGTAACTGTTCTCATGCATTTATAAGAATATTACATAGTCAAAGAAAAAATGTACTGGCATTTCATTATCATACCAAAAATAGTTAAACATCTATACCACTGTTCTTCCTCAGCCTCTCTGATGAAGCTGTGGTACCGTGAGCTGGAGGAGCCTCTCATTCCCATGAGCTTCTACAAGCAGTGTGTCAGTAACTACGATGATCCTGCGGCAGCTATCAGGGTGGTGCAGTCGCTGCCTGAGCTCAACCGACTGGTGCTGTGCTACTTCATCCACTTCTTACAGGTATTCACAACACTCAACAAACACACACAATATGCAGCAAATGTACAAAAAATGTATTTTGACTTATTGCACTGTTCTGATGCATATCCCACGTTTTCCTCAGGTTTTTGCTCAGCCTGCAAACGTTGCAGTAACTAAAATGGACGTGAACAACCTTGCTATGGTAATGGCTCCTAATTGCCTTCGGTGCCAGTCGGACGACCCCCGTGTCATATTTGAGAACACCCGCAAAGAGATGTCTTTCTTGCGAATGCTCATAGTACATCTGGACACAAGCTTCATACAGGGCATTGTTTAAAGTTCTTGTTACTTATTAGCAGAAGACGAATCAGTGATACAACCTGCTCACAAACACATTCACAAAAATGGCATTGTGGACAAAATCTAAACAAATCCTAGGACAAAAGTACACTTTTAAGGATGATTGTTTGTGTGTGTGTGTGTGTTTTATTGTTTTTGGGGGGTTTTTTGAGTGGAAAACTCAAAACTGTTTCACTGTTACTTTCGTTAGTCAGGTGTGTTCTGTCCACTTCGTTGTTATAAAGACTGTTGAAGTCGAAATTAATTGATGGTAACATGGCAGAAATTTCATGCCTTTATCCCAAGTTCTTTGCATGTTCAAGTAATGCATGAAAAAAAATGCATATCTTCATGTTAATGGTTTACATACATTAATGTGCATTGCAAGGGTCAAAGTTAAAAGTAACTTGCATGGATGCATTGCTTTGTGAGCACTCAAATGCTGTTTGCTTGTTTTGTATAGTAAGTCAGTGACAGGCAGTAAGAAACCACTTTATTTTGTTTGTTATCTGACTATCTTTGTGTATTTGTGTATTTTTAAAAAAGATCATGTGTTACGTACAGGACAAATGTATGTGCGGTGTATTTGTTCTTAGTTTGATCTGAAAGCTTTAACTATTGAAAAGAGAAAAATAGGTTTTGTTAGATAGGGTGTGAATATTTCATACTGTATTTGAAGTACAGTATTTTGATAAGTGGACGTTTTCTATTTTATTTTATGATTTTATGTTTTGTTTTGTAAAAGCTATTATTATTCCCTGATAGTCAGGAATGTCATTCATGCAAAGTTGTCCAGAGTCTTGAAATGGTACATTTTCAGCTCCCATCGGAATTTAATTGTAAATGAATTAAATGTATTAAGTGATAATGTAATGGAATTAAATGCCATTATATGATGCCTGTGAAATAGCATTTGAAGAATTTAAATCTTGAAAAAGAGTAAATAAGATCCATGACTTATCTAAAAAGACACCATTCGTGTAATCATGTTCTTTTTGAGTCTTTGTATGTAAATAAAGCTTTGAAAATAGTCCTGCTTGTTTTACTGACGTTACGTTTAAATGTAAGTGAGTGGTGGTGAGTTGGTGGCAAATAGATGAAAAAATATAAACACTATAGTATTTAGTATTTTGTGCAATCGGCTGATTGTGTATGAGCAAAATATTTTATACAAACTTTGGATTGTGTATGTATTTTATGTGAAATGGATGTTGAGGAATATAATAAAGTTTCATAAAGATGTGTTACATTTATTTGTTTCATATTTTAGTGGTGAAGAAAATATTGTAGTATTACTCTTTTAAATACAAATTAAGCTCTATACGTTTTACCTAGATTGTTACATTATATAAATACACTACTGTTCAAAAGTTTATGGTCCATAAGTTTTTTAGTGTTTTTGAAAGAAGCCTCTTGTGCTCACCAAGGATGCATTTATTTGACCAAAAACAGTAAAAATAGTATTATTGTGAAATATTACAATTTAAAATAACATTTCTATTTGAGTTATAATTTAAAATGTAATGTATTCCTGTGATTGCAAAGCTGATTTTTCAGCAGCCATTACTCCAGTCTTCAGTATCATGATCCTTCAGAAATCGCATGCTGATTTGCTGCTCAAGTAACTTTTTTTTTTTTGTCCAAAATAGTTGTGCAGCTTAAACCGTGGAAACTAATAAATTTTTTCAGGATTCTCAGATGAATGGAAAGGTCAAAAGAACAGTATTTATTTGAGATACAAATCTTAAAAACATTAAAGGGATACTCCACCCCAAAATGAAATTTTGGTCATTAATCACTTACCCCCATGTCGTTCCAAACCCCTAAAAGCTTTGTTCGTCTTCGGAACACAATTTAAGATATTTTGGATGAAAACTGGGAGGCTTGTGACTGTCCTATTGACTGCCAAATAAATTGCACTGTCAAGGTCCAGAAAAGTATGAAAGACATCGTCAGAATAGTCCATCTGCCATCAGTGGTTCAACCGTAAAGTAATGAAGCGACGAGAATACTTTTTGTACGCGAAGAAAACAAAAATAACGACTTTATTCAGCAATTCGTCTCCTCTGTGTCTCTCCGCTTCACTGTAGCGCCATTTTGGAGAATATCCGCTGAATGCAAGCAGCGTATGCTCTTCTGTGTCAGCCGCGACACAAGGATACGTTTTCTACATGTATTGCGTGGTTGACTCTTAACTTTTATAAAGAATATCTCTTTGGATTTGAGACTTGTAACACTCCAAAGAGAAAGGAAAAATTGAAATCGCATCATATGACCCCTTTAAATTGTGTTCTGAAGACGAACGAAGCTTTTACGGGTGTGGAAGGACATAAGTGATTAATGACAAAATTTTCATTTTGGGGTGGAGTATCCCTTTAAAATTGTCTTTATTGCCAATTTGTATCAATTTAATTTTGTCTTTGCTGAATAAAAGAAAAAAGAAAAAAATGACTCAATGGCCTGTTACTTTTGAAAAGTATTGTATTAAAGCAACGCCTGTACCTCACAATGAAGCTGACGCATGCGCGGTTGCGGTATTGTTCATACCGGTAGTCTGTGTGGAACACATTAGAAAATAGTAAGTGCGTGCATCTCGCGCACAACGTGGTTACAATGAAAGAGACTGTAATAGATGCATGACGCGCCTTTATAGTTAAAGAGACGGATATCACAGCAGGTAACTGATGTTTATAGCATTTTATAATACTCGCAATGGCAAGACTTTGTTCGAGTACGGAATGTTTAAAGATGCTGTTTTAGAAAATGTAATGTGTAATTACAGATTTTAGGTAGCCTAATGAAATCAAATAAATGTCAGACGTGTGCACTGGTAGAAGAAGCATGTTGTGATTTACAGCTTGCATTTGTTGGAGTGGCGATGTACTGCCCAATACTATCCATGTCAATATTCTGTTGGAGGGTGTGGATCAGTCAGGAAGTTGATGTCTGCTTGTGTTTTCACTAAGATGAAGATTGATCCTGTAGGATTTCAGATAGTCTTAAATGATGTTCTCTGTCTGCTTTTGGCTATAGACAGGCAGAAATCTTTGATCTGGGAATTATAAACAGTAGTGTAATGTTGGAATATCTGGCATCTCTATTGTTTCCAGTGTCATTGTCAGGCATTTGGGGGCCCCTGATAAAATCACAGTTAATTACTCTCATTTATATGACTACTCATGCAAGAGTAAATAAGTCAATTAAACATGTTTATAGTGTTTTGTGGTGTATAATATTATTTATATAATTGATTTAGTTACAATAATTTAAATTGTAAATTATTTATAGATCCATTCCTAACATTTTTTGAACGTTTTATTTATACAAAAGGAATGTTGAATTTGAAATTAATCATTAAAGTTACGTAGAAATAAGAGGCTTAAGTAGGCTATTGATAATTAAGTTACGTCTGTTGTTTGCAGTGTTTAGTGGCATGATGCTGCCATGACCTGGATTCTTTGCACCTACACTGTATAGTGAAATGCTGTAGATCAGCGTAGTTTTTATGGGAACGATTTCACTGCAAAAAGAGATATGTTATAAATGACACGTTGTGCAGAATTTTAACACATGTGGTGAGTGTGCTCAGGGACAACACATGTTGTGTCAAACTTAACACAATTTGTGTGTTACGATGGATCACACATCTACTGTGTAATGTAATTTAACACACAACGTGTCATTTAAACATTATGTGTTACTGAAAATTATCAGAAACTGCTAATTAATGTGTTAATATGACTAAAATAATAAGCATTGCCATCAATTTGTAATTCTACAAAATTGAAATAAAACACAGATGTAAAAATGTTAGCAATTTAATTTATCAAAAATGTTGTCAGGGTAGAGAACAATGCATGCAGAGGCACAACAAAATGTTCTAAATCTCAATTTCATAAATTTAATTGAGATGATATGCACTACAACTATGAGCTACAATACAGTATACATTAAAAAGTGTTACCAACATCAACTACACCTTGGATGATTGAAAATCATACAGTCAAGACTAGCAGATAACATTTCTCATAACATAAGATTAACTTGTAACATAAAATGTCAGATACAAGATAAAACTTTCCAAATCAGACAACAAATAAACATTTTAAATTGGTCAATGACAGTTCATTTTATAAATCTATAGTATGTTTGTCATTTTTCTTCATTATACAAAAGCATTTGTTATGCACTAGCTATTAACCACAGTATTCATTAAAAAGTGTTGCCAACATCAATTACACTTATGGTTAACAGAAACAAGACCAGAGGATAACATTTCTCATAAAATAAGATCAACTTAATCTAATAAGACAGATACTTTTTGATACATATAAATATAAACATTTTAGTTCAGACAAACATTAAGGCACATATTTCGAAATTGTCCTCAATGACAATCAATGTTGTAAATATTGTAAAATTGTAAGCATGTAATAATTGTGAAGTAATACTTCTTGATATTTAACACTGCAGCGACTTCCAGGCAACGGTGGCAGAAGATATAACAACCAGCATTGGGTAGCACTTTTCATCTGAAAATTAATGAAACAGATTAGAAATACAATAAATGTTTAAGTGCAGCCCAAGTAGGGTTGTTGTGATAATCACAATATTG